TCTGACTGGCAGTTTTAGGGGTACAGTCCATCATGGCACGGAAAGCATGGTGGCCACACTGGCTTGGTCAGTGGTGACAGGAGCTTGTGGCGTGACTTGTTCATATCTCGATGTGCCAAGAATCAGAGAATGGGACCAGAAGCAGGGCCAGCTCTAGCCCTCAGAGGCCTGTCACCAGTAACCTACCTTTACCAGCTGGGACTCACAAACTCTCAAAACAGTGCCACTAGCTGGTGACCAGGTGTTCAAGCACATCAGTGTATAGGGGACATTTCAGATTCAAACTATTAACACTCTCCTCACAGCCTAACCTCCTTCCCCTAAGCCCACCTCATAAAGGTTCAACCACCTCCCAACTGCGCCATTATCTCGAAACAAGAACTATCATACATAACACTTTGGGGAACACTGAGATCCAAAACATACCAGGATTCTTTCTCTTTTGAAATTCTAGGATTCTGAAGTTTTTGTCAGCAAACTAAAGGTTTCTTGGACACTTTCCTTTAAAATAATACTATCACTTACTGAGTGCTTATTTTGGGCAGTTTGCATGTTGTAATATGTCAGATTTGTAGAGCAGATGTTATTATCCCTACTTGATAGCTGAAGAACCTGTTTCAAAGAGGGGGAATAACTTGCTCTGGCTACTTTATTTCTTTATTTTTTATGGATATTTTTATATTAGAGGACTATTGTGACTGTAGCACTATGAGAATGAAATAAAGATTACATTAAATTCATAGTCACTTAGCTTGCTGGTAACAGTCAAGACCCAAGGGTCTCAGAAGCTGTGTACCAGTAACTCCAGTGACTGAATTCCACATGCCTAGAAGCTGGATACCACAACATAGTCTACCCCTTAACCCGGGCTGATTGACCCTGAGTGACTTTAGGCCAAGAGTTTTGGACTATGGCCTGGATTAAATAAATGTTAATGACCTGATTCAGAGGTAGACTCAAAAACAGGTTGAAGATAGGCAAGTCTGAGCATTAGAAAGGTAGATTATCAAGTTTGTTTTGATAGGATTATAGGAGAATATTAACGGAGACAGCTTGGAATGAGCCAGACCAGTGGTTCTCCACTGTGATTCAGTATCACGATAACCCGAGGAACTTTCCAAAGCACCATACCTGGGCTTTAACCAGAGAGCTCTTTATTGAGATGGGTCTTGACATTTGTGTTTTTTACCAGAGTAAATCTGACATATAGCCAAGATTAGCCATTAATGAGCTAGGCCAGCTCTCAAAGTTGTGACTTAAAAGCCATATCTGTCCTACTTCCTGTTTTTGTATGGCCCATGAACCATTTCTACATTTTGAAATGGTTCAATAAAGTCATAAAGGGAATGCTATTTTTAAATTCCAGTGTTCATAACTGAAATGTTAGAGTGAGCACGGTCATTTTCCTGCATTTTGAATATGGTTTGTGGCTGCTTTCAGGCCACCACAGTAGAGCTGAGGAACAGCAGATTATGGCCCAGGAAGCCTAAACTCTCTACTTTATGGGCCTTTATCAAAAATGTTTGCTGGCCCCCAAGTTAGAAAAAATGAAGGTCATGCAGAGCTGGTGTAGTCCTTAAAAAGGGAGTGGAAGGGGCTTGTACAACTTGTGTTTCTGTAGTTTGTTTTGCATTTTAATTTTTTCTCCTAGCAGAGAAAGCCTAATGGATTGGTTACAAGTTTGTCAAACAGAATTTTTATCAAGCAAGATAGAAATATATGCTTTTTAAAAGAAATATTTATTTTTATTTTATGTGTATGCATGTATTGCCTGCATGCAGGTAAGTACACCCGTGTCATGCAATGCCCACAGAGGACAGAAGAGGCTATCAGATCCCCTGGAACTGGAGTTGTGGACAGTTTTTAGCTGCCATGTGGGTGCTGGGATTCGAACCCGGGTCTTCTGCAAGAACAGTCAGTGTTCTTAACCACTGAGCCATCTCTCCAGCCCCATATATGCTTTTTTAAAGCGTATATTGTTTCTTGAAAAAAATAAGTATGAAGAATACACTGTCCATAAAACTAGATGACCCAGGGCTTTATTGAAAGTGCTTCTTTAAGGATTTCTTAGGTCCCTCCCACACGCCCACCCACCCACCCTCTGTCTTCTTCCTGGTCCTTTTGTTCCATATTTAGGATCACTTCTAGTCAGAGACCTGAGAGGATTTCCTTTTCTTGATTTAAAATTGTGATACAGGGGAGATCAGGGTCCCCTTGCCAGGGCTCTTAGTCTCATTCATAAAAGAATTTAAGAATGGACTCAAATGGAAGCTTTTGGACAATGTTAGAATTTAAGGAAAAATCCTCAGGGCAGGCAAAGTATAAATCTCAGCAACTACCTTGAGGAAGAGAAGGAAGGGGAGAAGGAAAAAAGCCATGAAGCCATGTCCGTTTAGAACCTTCATGGAGGTCAGACAGACGCATGGTAGACTAGCAGCCACATGGCAGGAGGACAAGAGAGCTGTATAGGAAAAGGTAAAGAAACCCAAAATGTTGGTTGGGACAGTCCAAAGCATTAAGGAAAGCATGGTTAGAAAAGAGGTATAGAGATGAAAAGAGGCCGGGAGAGGTGGTGCATGCCATTAGTCCCAGCACTGGGAAGGCAGAGGCAGGGACAGGCAGATCTCTAGGGATTGAGGCTAGCCTGATCTACATAGTGAGTTCCAGGTCAGCTGGGGCTACAGGGAAACGCTGTCTCAAAAAGAAAAAAAAAAAGAAAGAAAAAAAAGGAAGGAGGGAGGGAGGGAAGGAAAGGAGAAAGAAAAAGGAAGGAAGGAAGGAAGGAAAGAAAGAAAGGAAAGAAAGGAAGAAAGAAAGAAAAGAAAAAGAAAGAAAGAGAAAGAAAGAAAGAAAGAAAGAAAGAAAGAAAGAAAGAAAGAAAGAAAGAAAGAAAGAAAGAAAAGATTATATGATTCTGAAGAAGTCAGAAAAGCAGGCAAGACTTACAGGGACCCAGAGGCCTCATGTCCATAACTGGGTCGGTAAGAACTGTGCTAAGAGGTGGGGATTCCCAGCAGGAAAAGTTCAACATCTCATTAACACACTAGGTATTCTGCCTATCTCTTTCATATAACATAAGGTGAACTGCCTTCTTAGGGGTAGTCCTGTGACCAGGTAACCAGAAAAAAACTGGAAAATTAAGGTTCCAACCAGGCCAGAGATTTTTATTTTTTGACCAATCAATCTTATGGGGCTTTTTGCTACTCTAACAGTTGGAAAAAGGAAATCAGCATTTCTAGGAATATAAAAATTTAGTTGGGCAAGATCAGAAGAATGCCAGTAATTGTCATGTGGGTGTTTTGTTTTGTATTGTGTGTTGTGTTGTGTTGAGACAGGGCTCACAGTGTAGCCCTGGCTGGTCTGGGGTTGATTTCTTTTAGTTTCTGGTTTTCATCTACTTGGATTTAGAAAATAAGAAAAGCAGGCTCTGAATAAGAGCATGTACTACTCTTCAAGGGGACCTGAGTTTAATTCCCAGCATCCACATCAGGTGGCTCACAATTGCCTATGACTCCAGTTCCAGGGGATCTAACGCCCTCTTCTGGCTCCCATGGGCACCTGCACTCATGTGCATATCCATGCACACAGACATACACATAAGTAAAAGTAGCACAAATAAAATAAGAAAAGTATTAAAGTTAAAAAAAATAAGCAGAAGATGGAAAAAGAGAGGGGGAGAGCAGGAGGGGGAGGGGAGAGACAGAGGGAGAGGGAGAGGGAGAGGGAGAGGGAGAGGGAGAGGGAGAGAGAGAGAGAGAGAGAGAGAGAGAGAGAGAGAGAGAGA